AATAATCGAATTGAACACCTCCATGTAAAAAAAGGATATCTTTTTAATAATTTACACTGAAATCAAAAGATAAGCATCTGAAGTTTTGTTGGAATAAATTAAATGAGTGGTCTAATATGATGATACGATCAATCAAATTAGCATTGACAATGAAGTTCTAAATCTAAAGAGCTAGAAGAAAGTCTATCAAGATAAACCTACACTAAAATAACCGTTTAGTGTATGCTTCTGTCGGCTACTTTCGTCAGATGATCCGTTGGCGACCACTCGATTTGCACCTTGCCGCTGCAATCTCGTCCCAGAGGTGCCAGAGGAGACCATAGTCATTTCCTCAATATGATCAGAAGTCTGTTGTTTCAAAAAATGAGAGTCAACTGTTTTTTGATCGTTTTGGTCTCGAGCAATGCCACGACCTTCACGCTGTATCGAAGGTACAGTGCTCGGGTCGCGTGCGCCTGCGCCACCTCGTTCATGCAACTGCTGATTTGGCTCATCACATCCAGTCTGAATAGCAGAAGAAGCCTCGCCGGGGAGTTGCTCTGGCGGAAGAGTTGATGAGGTGTTATTGAGCGAGAGCTGACCTAACTTGTTTTCCAACTGATATATGCAAGGAATGGAAATGAGAAGTAAAATATAAGGAAGTAAAAAGGTTTGTATTGAAATTTTTGCTTACTCCAAATGATTTTATTCCCACAGACACTAAATCGAAGTATTCTTAAAATAGAGTTTGATAATGGAAGAGAAAAAACCATGTAGGATCAAATTAGTATTCGTATGAAAACGATGAAACATAAATTAAAAAGTGGGGATGATGGGAAGGATTCGTAGTCCTGGAGGTCTAAAAACAGCTCTAGAGCAAATTTGTCCCAAAATAAAAGTATATTTACAAAAAAAGTACAAAACAAAGTATGTTGTAAGGTAAAAAAAGAGCAGAGATAGGAAAGAGCCATGCAGAAGATAGATGATGAGACAATGCCATTGTCACATTAAAAAGCATGAATCACTCGGATAAGATCAGTTGAACCAATCAGCCTGCAATCCTGGTTAAGAATTTTTATCTTTATTTCTCTCATACTTTATAATGTCGGTATGATTACCAAAATGGTGGGCTTGATTGCAGCCTCCTTAAGCCCTATACTGTTGGCTTGACATTGTTTTAGCAACTTCTTTAAATAGACAGGGAGGCTTGTTGAACGTACCTAGTCATTTGTCCTCTGCCAATTGACTTGGCACATTTATAAACGTATCTCTGGCATCATTAGTGAGAGGCGCCATCTTTAGCATAGAGAAGTAGCCTATCAAAGTTAAAAGGCGATTCCCTTGACCAATTGCTGACCAATTGTATGTTGAATACTCTGGCAAAGGGCGTAGAGCTAGGTACATTCCAAAAGGTCTCTCTGTCGTTCCGACCAAGTTACGTAAACTTAGTTAAAACAACATTATATATATTGCAATTCAAAAAGACTTCACGAATTTAAAGTTTTATTTCCTCAGAATTCTCCTAAAGTCAGACTTTGAAATGATCTAAAGTAGACATAAATAAGTGATACAAGATTCAATCTATAATTTAAACTATTATATTATTCGTAAGCATATAAATTTAAATTGTAATTATTTTGTATGGTCGTAATCTCACTTAGGGTAAAATAAATAATTCCGTTTAGTTTTTGCAATTTGGTCATGTTTTCATGGCGACCTAGATAAACAGACCTGTCCGAAGTCATCTGTCATAGGAGTTAATCTAATTCCAAGAGTTAGGCAGTGGAGTTGGTACGTTCATATGTGTTTCACCGGCATCATACTCGACATCGTCAGTGAGTCTTCTCATTCATAGCATCAAGCTACAGCTCATCAAATAAAAACGGCTGGGAATACACCAAATCTACGGTCCGAGGGAAGGAATTATAACTACTACAGCAGACTTCGGAAAAGATGCGTTCACTTAGGTCCACCTGACAGCAAGTGCTCCAAACATGCGATGTGTTGCGCTATTTCCGATCGTTCTGTATCCATGCTTCCACATAGTCTATGATGTTGCTTAATTCATAGACTGATTTTTCTTATTGTTTCACAGTTGCCACATTCTATGCAATAAATTTGCGAGCAATGCAACTTTTTAAACTCCTCATGTCGATTCGGTAAGTTAACAAAGAGTGTTGTCTTGTTCTTCGTGCTCACCTTTATATTACATTTTCTTAGTAATGGTCGCAATTTTTGACTCAGTCCACAGAAGGGCATATATATCCCCTTTTGATCGTCTTTCCCATTTCTGATTTTATTTTCATCATATCCATGTTTCCATCTAAAACCCTTCTATTTTTATTTGAATGATTTCTCTGGGGTACCCGCCGCTAAGAAAAATTCGAGTGGGTTTTTTCAACTCTTAATCCTAGTCTGTTAGTCTTAAACCTCTGATAAGCAAAACTACTAATTATTCTGATATTTGGATTGGAAATCAAGGACTATGTATGCATGTGATTCCTTTCTAAATATTTTCGATTTGAGTGTTCTCTCAAAGCGAATGACCTGCCATAATGACCATGATAATTTTCAGTTTCAGACCGTAGGCTTATACTTTCCCAAGCATTCCACAAGAATCGAAGGTATGAAGACCAAGATGGTGTGGTCTTTTGTGTGGTCGCAGTCTCCTTTCGTTGTATAGAAG